ATGGAAGGTGAGTGCTCTTTTATTAGAAGGTGTAATTCATTCATGTTGTTGAATATTCCTTTTATGTTCCATTGAAGAACATTAAAGGCCATGATCATTATCAAAGCTGACGTTCAGGATGTCTCCTGAATCTGTGTTGGAAAATTCTGTGTTAGAATTTGGCAATAGGTAATAATTGCTGTTTTGAATCAATTGCTGACTCAGTCAAGTTATAGGCGAATCGATTGTTGTTTGTTTATTTTCAGTAGTAATTGTGGTTTCTTGGTTTGTTGGTAAAATTTCTGAGGTTATCATTGGTACACTTGCGGCTTCATCGAAAGCACAAGTGTTGTTGTCTGCTTCTTTGTCAAAGAAGTTTTATTTTTTTTATTTTCAGGTAATACGTTAGTTACTTTGTTGTTAGTATTGTGTTGTTTTGGTGTAGTGGTATCATTGTTGCTGGGGTTGGCTACTCCAGCGAAAGAAAATGGAGCTGAAGCTCTAGGAAATTGTGCCTGGTAGGCATCTTTTGCTTCTTTCATAGTGCATCTACGCTGAATTTTAATTTTTAAAATTTCTTTCTGTTCAAGGAATTTTGCACATTTGTTAAAGTTCGATGGGTGTTTTTCTTCGCAGTTGACGCATTGAACACGCGCGCAATTGTCATCGTGGGGTGGGAAGCTGCATGTTTGGCACAGAGCAGGTTTATGGCAGTGCTTTTTGGTGTGACCTAGCTCTTGACATTGTTTGCAACGCATAGGATTCGGGAAATATTCCCTTACTCGCGCTTTGTGCCATGAAATGTCGATTTTTTCTGGTAGCTTGTATAGGTCGAAAGTGAGCAGTATTGCTCCAGTATGTACAGCTTTGTTGTTTTCCATTTTTGTAAACTTGAAAACATTTACCACTCCTTCGGAGGCTAGCTCCTTTGTGATTTCTTCATCAGAAAGGATAGTAAGGTAGGGTGCAAAGATCGTGCCTTTGACGAAATTAAGGTTTTCATGAAATTTGCATTTAATTTCACAAATTCCTGGTAGTAGTTTAGCAGAAATGAATTTATCAGCGGATTGTTTATCTTTCACTAGCACCAATAAGCTGCCGTCCCTAAGTTCTGTGATCTTTTCAATGTTTTTGCTTATAAGCTCTAAAGATCTTTGCACAGCAAAGCACGAATAAAGAGATAGAGGTTTTTTTTCATCAGTAGCAGAGACTACGACGTACTTGGGATTAGGAAGGTTAGTAGGGGGTGTTAGGTCGGGGAAACTATCAAGGGGTTTGGATAATCTTTTTTTTTTAGCTTTGGGGCTGTTTTCTAAAATAGAAAACCTATTGCCCCCATGGCTTGTTGCCCCGAGGGGCATAGTTAAAGATAACCAAAATTACACTATATTTAAAGCACGTGGGCACTCTAAAAAACAAGATGAGCTAAATGAATTTTAGTTAGCGGTATTTGTTGTTTACAAGAAACTGCACTAAGTGCGAAGGTAAAGTCAAAGAGAGAACGCAATTGAAATACAACCGTACGCGGCGAATGCTAGTCGATGACTGAAAAAAATTTAAATTCCTTATATTTCAAACAATTTTGAACAGATTTTTAAAAAATTTACATTTACATGTAAAGGTGCTCTTATTTAAATGGTATGTAACTTTTTTTTGTGCAGACTTATATTACGAAGATGTTCCCAACCAATGCCCGGCATATGGAGAGTCGCCACTTGACTCCCGGCACCTATTCACATGCCCTGAGAATCCCACTCAGCTAACGCCCCTGTCCCTATGGACAGCCCCTCTGGAAGTAGCACACTTCCTGGGCCTCCCCCTAGCTGAAATAGACGACAACGTTGATGGATGAACCGCCCCGAACGGCTTAGTAGCCGATACAACAACAACAACAACAAAACATGCTGATGCTGTGCTTCTGAAGTTGTCTTGCTTCAAAGGCAATATTCATGCTTTTGCTTTAGCTTCAAAAAAGAACGAACAGTCACAGCAGCAGCACGAGAAGAGCTGAGAAACAAACGATTGTTTGCTTTCCGGCACGAATACGATACTCATCAGCAGGGAACGGCTTTTATGAAAATTGCCTTTTTTCTGCTAAAGAGATAGAGTATATTCGATTAAGAATGTCCACGATTTAGCTTTCCCTGATTCCATATATCGTCGTTTAAGGTACAAAACCGCGTATCAACAAAATGTAAAACCGCGTATCAAGATAATACAAAACCGCGTATGTGAGATTGCATAAATTATTTTCTGGAGAGTAAAAACACTCATATTTCAAAATGGTTCTCTTTTTTACAAAGCAATTACATTTCCGACAAGTATATTTCAGGGCGAATGGATAAGGATTGAGCCAAGAGCTTCGGCGAGCAAATCCAATTTTTGGCAGCAAATGTCAGTTACGCGGTTTTGCATAATGACGATGCGCGGTTTTGTACTTTAAACGACGATATACACATTTGACGTTGCTTTTTTTTTGCCTTTTCTACCTTAAAGGTCAGTATGCAGCACTCAAGAAAAGCAAAAACTCCGTATAAAATGACGTACAAGAAATGGCTAAGAAATTTTCCTGTGTAAAATTTCCTTAAGGCAGTACGCAGTTCTCAAGAAATTTGCTACGCTTTCTACATAGTACGGTTTTCTAATTTTGTTTTCTGAAAAAAGAGGCAACCCATGTTTGTAACAGAAATATATGCCCGTTCCTTGGACACACACACACGAAATAATAGCAATTTTTTTCTTGTCCGTTTCCGTGAGAGCTGCATACTGGTCTTTAGTTGTAAAGGGCAAGGAATGAGCCCTTATTCCTGATAAAATGAAGGTCTTAAACGTTCCATATTTAAATTGGGCGCCACTTGTATCAACAACTCACGTCGAGCGCACGTTTAGTACATTCAAGGATTTTCTTCGCGAAAAGCGAAGGAAAATGCTGCCAGAAAACTTCAAAATGCATCTTGTGGTTCAATGTTACTACAACTATAGAGATTTAAGTTTTGTGAGTTAAAAACTCGAAAGGAGATAATAGTCAAAGAATCAAAGTAGAAATTTTTCAAATAATGAAACTAGTACATATTTTTTCTCGTTTTACTTATAAAATAAACATTTCTAAAATAAATAAATTTTTTGATTATTTTTCGGGTTTTGCCTTACTTTAGTGCCTTCTTTTGCCTATTTTGCGATTTCTAGTGCCTTTTCCTGCCTATTTCGCTATTTTATTTTGCCTTTTCCGACGGCTGCCGAAGCTGACGCGCATTTTATTAAAAAGTTTATTTATTAAATACAGTCTGCACATAAAACTTGCATAAATGTACTTTAAAGAGCATATTTGTGAAGCGAATTCGCAGTATTTTCGGGTTATATATCTTTAGAAGCATACATTTTAATATGCAAAGGGATTATGTATGTATTTTTCCTCTATTTGTAATTTTTTTTTGCCAAACACCTGCAGTTGATTGTTTGGCAAAGTTACAACAATTCGCCAGGAAAAAATGGAACAAGTGACAGTCGGATATTTTCAGCTTCAGATTGTCTTTGAAAGTTTGTAAAATAAATTGCTCGCAATATTAAAGTACTTACGGAATATTGGTTTGATTTCCTCTTTGACCGCTGTCAATATACCGGCTGGGATTTGTGGATGAGGCTGTGGCGGTGGTGGCATCACCGCATCGGGATGGTTCATCTTCATGTGACGCTTCAAATTGCCACGTTCAACGAAAGCCTTGCTACATAAAGTACAGGCGTGTGGCTTTTCACCTGAGTGTGAACGCATATGCGACACAAGATGACCTATTGATATTTTATGAAGGTTAACAACTATTTGCATAATACATAGACTCAGAAAAAATCGCTTACCCTTGCATATAAAGTTCTTGGGACATTTTTCACACGAAAACGGACGTTCGCATTCCTGACCTTTTGTGTGACTGCGTTGATGGAACAGCAGATTTCCTTTGAGTGGAAACGATTTACCACAAGTTTCACAAGCAAAGGGCCGATCACCAGTGTGGCAACGGGACATGTGATTTATGAGATGCTCTTTTCGTGTGAATGGCTTGTTGCAGACATTGCAACAATGCGGATTGTCACTGGAGTGCTGACGCATATGATTGTTTAGATGCTCCTTACGCGTGAATGTCTTCTGACAGTATTCGCATTTGTGCGGCGAATCACCGGTATGAAGGCGCACATGGTTTGTCAAATGCTCCTTGCGTGTGAAGGTCTTCTTACAGTAGCTGCAACGATGTGGAGATTCCCCAGTATGCTGACGCACATGATTCACAAGGTGCTCCTTGCGTGTGAATGTCTTTGTGCAGTATGTGCACTTGTGCGGCGACTCGCCGGTATGTTGCCTAATATGATTTACCATGTGATCTTTGCGGGTGAATGCCTTCGTGCAGTAGGTGCATTTGAAAGGCGTTTCACCGGTGTGCTGACGTATGTGGTTCACTAGGTGTTCCTTACGTGTAAACGTTTTTAAGCAATAAGTGCAGCGATGAGGCGATTCACCCGTATGTTGGCGTACATGATTTAACAAATGTTCCTTGCGCGTAAATGTCTTCGAACAAAAATCGCAACGATGGGGAGTTTCGCCTGTGGATTGAGCTTGAAGGATCAGTTTTGGAAAGGACCAATAGTGCTGATATGTTTTTGGCTTTTATACCCACCTGTGTGCCAGAGAATGTGATTGGTGAAGTGCTCCTTGCGACTGAAGCTCTTGCCGCAAATTTCGCATCTGAATGGTGTGTCATTAGTGTGTGAACGCATATGATTGGCAAGGTGTTCCTTGCGTGTATACTTTTTGCCGCAAACATCGCACTGATGTGGTGTTTGACCTGAAAGAAATATATTTAAATGCAATTGTTTTTAGTATTTGCGCGTATGCTTTTCTAGAAAACGAGCTATGAATGGTGCTAAAGAGTATGAAATACAAATAACAGGCTCGATTTGGTTCAGTTTTATATATAAACATATGTACGCACTTGAAAGCTTCACAAATTTCGATTGCACACCATATGAGCACAATGGAAATATAGCGAAAAAAATACCTCCACCATTTGTATAATACAAGTTCTCCTCAAGATTTCTCCCACCAAGACACATTAGGAGCGTTCCTTATCTCCCAGAAATAGTCAGAAAAAGTCCGAAGTAGTCAGATTTAGTCCAAAAAGCGTTCCTTAACTCAGAAATGACAGCAAAAATGAGAGAGCAACACTCAGTGAGAGTGACTCTCATCAGTCCGAAGTAGTCAGATTTAGTCAGAAGAATTTTTTCTTGGAAAATCCTGAAAAGTGTCAAACTCAACTGAATTTAAATTAACGGAAATTAAAGAATACGCAAAATGTGAGAATAGTCTAAAAAGTGAATTGAAATTGGAAGGAGGCAAAAAATAATTGATATAGTAAGTGTTTATTGTGCTTGTGCTTGTGTGAATGTGTTTTGTACATAATTTCCATTCTTATTTGACGTTAGCTTTGTTGTTGCCATTCTTTGGACTAAAAATTTGGTTTTTTTGCGTTCCTTTACTTTTCCTGTTATACTCTTTTAGTGAGCGCATTTTGCTTACGCTCTAGCATTTTGACACTATTCAGATTTTAGTCCAAAAAGATAAGGAATGAACCTATTAATGTGCCTTGCCTCACACTAATCCAATCTCAGTATATCCAGTAAAAAAACTCTGGGGAAAGTCCTTTATGGGGATAGGGTTTCCAGAGGTAAAATTTTAGGTAGCACACAATTTCTTACACGCATGGTTGCTCTACTCTTCACCACTCACGAAATAAGCTTTTGAATTTATTGAAAAAAATTTCCGTGTAGTACATTAATTTAAAGAATAAACACAAATATCGTCGTTTAAAGTACAAAACCGCGTATCAACATAATGCAAAACCGAACGAATGGATAAGGCTTGAACCAAGAGCTTCGGTGAGAAAATCCAATTTTTGGCAAAAAAATGTCAGTTACGCGGTTTTGCAGAACGACGATACGCGGTTTTGTACTTTAAACGACGATATGTATATGCTTTTAGGTACTTTAATTAATATGTAAATTTGAAAGCCACCAATTGATAGAAAAGAGAAAAATTTTACGGATAGAACTAAAATTTTGACATTTTTCGTGGTGAATACGAACGTGAGAATGTTACCTAGCTCATAGGGATAGATAAAATTATGACAGCTTCTATATATGTATATACATAATATTGTTTGGCGGTATTAAACAGTGAAAATCAAAATGGAAGCTGACAAGGAAAAAAAGCGCACGTTGCTTGTAAGTTATAAAACAAGTTTGAACAATTTCAACAACACACAGAAACAGAGCTTCTGCGGGAGCGTTTTGTTTGGTTTTTGCACTGTCAAAATTTTACTTTACATTCGGCACAGCAAAAATCAATTTGTACACCATAGTAAATTTTTTACTTCGTCTTACTTACTACGGAGAAAAGTGTTACCGATTGGCTTACCGCCAAAATAACATTGCTGATCGGAACGCTCTGAGCGCTGCCCCTGAAAAGTTGCTTTACGTTCAAATACACCCCTGTCCCTTGTTGTTGCTGTATCGCATCGGGGTGAATTTACATTTCGAATTAAGGGCCTGTGCCAATCGGTAGAAAAGTTCTATGGTGAAAAAACTATTGTGAGAAAATTGTACATTTCCGCTGTACCAATTCGTAACTTCTTAATGATGAAAATTTTTGACAGTTGCTTTGATGCAGAAGAAGCAATTAATAAAATGCAGCAATTATAAAGAAAATATTTGCCTTTGCTGATTTCAGTTCTTCTGGAACTGAAATCCATGTATTTATAAACAGGGTTCGTACTAGGGATGTTCATTTTTCGGCTTTTTCCGATCCCGGGATTAAATACATATATATTTTTCACATTTCCGAAAGCTACCGCTACATGGTAAGCCGGGATGTATCAATTTTGAGTAAATTAGCGTCCTTAAACTTCGAAATATTGAAGTTTCAACCATTTCTGAAATTTGCCGTTATATGAAAAGCGGACGTAATTTTAGTCCGATTTCAATAATTTTCAACGCTTTGCTTTTATGTGGCAAGCACAATAACTATACCGAGTTTGGTACAAATTGGTAGAACGGTTACCGATATACATATATGTGATCATAAGTGGGCGGCGCCACGCCCATTTTCCAAAATTTTACCATAAACGTATTTCTTGGTAAATAATTGTTGCAAACGTCAATTTTGAATAAATTAGCTTTAATATTTACTGATTTACCGAAGATTTCGTATTTCTCTAAATTACCCTGTGGACTGTGGGCGTGGTTATTGTCCGATTTTAAATTATTTTCGGCGATTTGGTATGCTGTACCAAGGCCAACAACTGTGCCAAGTTTGGATGAAATCGGTGCAGCGGTTACCAAGATATACACATGTAACCATAACTGGGCGTGGCTACGCCCATTTTCCAAAAATTTATAATATTCTTATTTTTCGTCTAAAACTTATTGTAAAAATCAATTTTGAGTGAATAATCTCCAGTAGTTACTAAAATATCGCAGTTTTCGAATTTCTGAAAATTACCGTTATATGGGAAGTGGGCGTGGTTACAGTCCGATTTCGCCCATTTTCAATACCAACTTACCGTGGGTAAATGGAAACCTACATACCAAATTTCGTTGAGATATCTCAATTTTTGCTCGAGTTATCGTGTACACGGTCGGACGGACAGACGGACGGACAGACAGACGGACGGACAGACAGACGGACGGACAGATAGACATGGCTTAATCGATTTCTCTTTTCATTCTGAGCATTTATGTATATATTTGTCTACATATATCTATCTCGATTCGTTTTGGCTGTTACAAACAACCGTTATGTGGACAAAATTAATATACCCTTGTGCCCAAGTGCGCTCCGGTATAAAAATTATCACCATTGAGAAAAATTATAAATAAATTTTCGTTTCGAATTTTCACCGTGAAAATGAGAAAGTTTTGGAAAACCATCGGATAGCTCGTAACAANAACTGGTCAAGAAAAGGAGTTTCTATTATGGCCATCAGTGCAAATTACAAATCTCGGGATTACTTGCCAAGAATCCCGGGATTTTCGAGACCTTAAAAAGTCCGGGATCCCGGGATTAACATTCCTAGTTCGTACCCAGTGTGAAAATAACAATACATTACCTAAGACTAACAACTACGGTTGAACGAACAGATGCATCGCAATGAAAGCGAGCGGATGATGTGTACTTTTGAAGCCACAAACAAAATAAAGTTTGAGAACTAACTCAAGTATGTTTTCTTCACGTTATCTCAACAGCTGTTGTAGCCTAACGGATGTGTGTTCGACTGCCGTGTTGTTGGTTACGGGTTGAAAACCTGTGCCACGGACTTTTATTTATTGTTATTTAAAAATTCTATTTGAGCCGTTTATTTTGAAAGTGGTATAAGTGGCCTTTTCAAAAACAACGAGTTAGTGATAACACTAATTAGAATTTAACAGTATCTGCTAAAAAAAAGTTGCTATGAAATGTTGAGAACCCCTGAGGTTTTATTCGAGAGAAGTCTTACTAATCAGCGGTATAACGAAAATATTTACTTTGAAAGTGGCATAAGTCACCCAAAAAATCAAGTTAAAAAAATATAAACACCCAAAACTAAGAGCCAAATATAGTAAAACTGCATTTTTAGTTTATTTCTCTGACATCAGATTTTTTTTTAAGTGCTTTATAGAATAACCATATGTGAACCAAATAAAAGATAAAATTCTGTATAAAATATTAAATTTTTGGTGCATAAAGACGAATAGATATTTTAGATTTCCTTTTAAAATTTTGTCCTTGAGTATCCTTGAAAATTTGTTCTATTTATTTTTGAAAAAATTATAGGTTAAGGATTAATATACACACGACCATATATAACCTCGAATTTCGTCCTTCTGCTTTAATAGCGTAAATAAATTAAATATTGAAAAGGGCAGTTTCAATATCAATTCGTCCTTGTGAACAACAAAAAATTTAATATTTTTAAGTTCTAAAGAATATTTTCTTTCATTTAGTACCCATATTTATACCCGAGTGCACTTGTGCACAGGGTATTATAACTTTGTTCGCATAACGGTTGTTTTAACAGCCTAAAGGATCGAGATAGATATAGACAAATGTATACATAAATGATCAGAATGAAAAGAGAAGTCGATTAAGCCATGTCTGTCTGTCCGTCCGTCCGTCTGTCCGTGTACACGATAACTCAAGCAAAAATTGAGATATCTCAACAAAATTTGGTATACCTTTATCCAAGGTAGGTCAAAATGGGCGAAATCGGACTGTAACCACGCCCCTTGTCATATTTTCGAAAAATGCAAAAACTATGATATTTCAGTAAATATTGGATCCAAATTATTGGAAATTAGTACGTGAAGTAGAATTTCAATGCAAAATAATATTATGAAATTTTTGGTAAAGGGGCGTGACCCCGCCCACTTATGATGAAATACTGTATCTTAGTAGCCGATTCACCAATCCTTACCAAACTCTGTACGAGCCTTTCTTAGGATCCAGCTAAGAAATTGGTGAAAATCTTTGAATCGCCCACCTCCCATACAACGGAAATTTACAGAAACACGAAAATTGCGATAAATCAGTAACTACTGAAACTAATTGACTCAAAATCGATGATTGCAATGACCACTAAGCAGAAAAGTAGATCGTTATAAATTTTTGGATTTTGGGCGTGGCTCCGCCCACTTATGACCAAAAATGTGTATCTCGGTAACCGATTTATCAATTTCTACCAAACTCGGTGCACGTAATAACCTTGGTACGGAAAAGCAATTCGTTAAAACTTATTCAAATCGGACAAAACTA